TGGCTCCTACAATTCCGTAATCCAGAGGGTCAGACGGCAAGATGGTTAGAACGATTACAAGAATATGATTACGAGATCGAACACAGGGCTGGAAGAGTTCATTTAAATGCTGATGCGCTTTCGAGAAGGCCGTGCAGTGAACATTGTAATCACTGTCTTAAATTAGAAGAAAGACTTTGTCCTGTGAGACGAACCACCGTCATTAATGATCAATGGCAGCCACAACAGCTACAAGACGCTCAAGCAGATGATCCAGTATAAAAAGAGTATTGGATTGGGTGCGTCGAAGTGAAAGGCCTCCTTGGCAAGACATTAGTGCATGTAGTCCTGAAGTCAAGTGTTACTGGAGCCAATGGAATTGCCTAGTGCTAAAAGATGATCTTCTTTATAGAACCTTTGAGAACGATGATGGTACAGAAACTAAGCTTCAGTTGATTGTACCTAAAAGTAAAGTGTCAGAAGTATTGCGTCAGTTGCATGACGGCGCATCAGGTGGACACTTTGGTATTACGAAGACTCTGCAAAAGGTTCGAGAACGGTTCTATTGGGTGAACTGTAAAGATGATGTAAGAAGATGGTGCCGGAAATGTGAACTGTGTGCAACTAGTAATGGTCCAGTTGGTAAAAAGAGGGCACCCATGAAACAGTACAATGTTGGTAGTCCTATGGAGAGAGTAGCAATCGATATTGCAGGTCCACTTCCAGAGACAAATGATGGAAATAAATATATCCTGGTAGCCATGGATTATTTTACGAAATGGACGGAGGCCTATGCGCTACCAAATCAAGAAGCTGCTACCGTTGCAGAGGTACTGGTTAAAGAATTCTTTAGCCGATTTGGTGTTCCCTTGGAAATCCACTCCGACCAAGGGCGAAACTTCGAGTCAAACCTTTTCCAAAACGTTTGTAAATTGATTGGCGTCAATAAGACCAGAACGACACCCCTTCATCCTCAATCAGATGGAATGGTCGAGAGAATGAACCGAACGATGGGTAAACACCTGTCCAAAGTTGTATCAGAACATCAAAGAGATTGGGACCAGCACATTCATTTATTCCTAATGGCCTACCGCTCGGCCGTGAATGAAACTACGGGCCAGACTCCAACCTGCCTGATGTTAGGTCGTGAAGTTCGTTTGCCCTGCGACCTAGAGTTTGGCTGCAGACCTTCTGAAGAACATGTTGCAAGCGAAGATTATGTCGACCGCCTAAAGTTAAGAATGAACAACATTCATGAACTTGCCCGACAACACATCCAGTTAGCCAGTGACAGAATGAAAGATCAATACGATTCTCGATGCAAGAATGAAAGCTATGAAGTAGGTGATCTTGTTTGGCTTTATAATCCACAACGTCGTCGTGGCTTGTCTCCTAAACTGCAAAGACAATGGGAGGGTCCGTATGAAATTAAAAAGAGAATAAATGACGTAATATACCGAATTAAGAAGTTGCCGAAAGGTAAACCAAAAGTAGTTTACATAAATCGTCTTGCACCTTATGCTGGCTCAAATGAAACCGAAGAAGTCCGAACCCTTCAACATGAGATCAAAGATGATCGGCGACCAAGCTTTAATGAATTTATGTCAAATTACGCAGAGAGAACGAGTGCTAGATTCGGCGTGACGACAGAAGTTCAGCAGGATCTTTTTAGTGTTCCACATAACGTCTCTCTAGCCCACTGCGTTGCCCAAGATCTTGAGATGACTAAAGGAATCTCGTCCGTATTTTATAAGAAATTTGGTCGCTTGGACGAGTTAAAAAACCAGCAGCCTAAAGTTGGAAGAGTGCTGAGATTAGAAGATGGTTCTCGATCTTTGTTGTATATGGTGACCAGAAAGTCGTATACAGACAGGGCAAGCTACGAGGATATATGGCGTGCTCTGACTAATTTGAAGAAAATCGTCTGCAATTACGACATTAAGAACTTGGCTTTACCCAAGATAGGCCATGCACAAGATAATCTGGATTGGAAGATTGTCAGAAGTATGCTTGAAGTGATCTTCCGAGAAACCGGTGTAAGAATTACTGTGTGTTGCATTAATCCGAAGAGATCGTGTCCTTCAAAGACAGTAGACTGTTATTTCTTTCTGAGGGGTTCATGCAGAGCTGGAGAGTCCTGTAGATTCCGCCATCCTGGACCTATAGATAGAGTTCCTGATCGGGACGCTCAGATCTAAGAGGGGAGCAGTGTTACGAACATGCGTTCAGCAGCTAACAGCATCTAAGTGGCCCGCCTAACGGTCGCATCTCGAAGCATCGAGAAGTGTCGGCTTTATATCAAGCGCTGTAAAATTCCACCCGTCGAATAACGAATTAGAGGTTGGACTAGTCCCGAATATTCTCGAACATAATACTTTGGTATATATATGTAACGGAATTAGGAGTTAAGTTTAGTTGATAAGAGAATTCCGAACTGTAAAGTTATAAATAAATATATTTATATAAATTCGAACCGCTCGTTTTATTTAAAAACGGTACAGTATTTTAAAATTGGTATTAGTAATTATTTTAGTGTAATTATTAAAGTCCTGTGATGTCCTGGTTTTTATTTTAATGATTCCACTCATGAGTTTTTATTTATTTTAAGTACATAATGTTCTAAGTAATAATTGTTTTTAATAATAATATTTTAGTGCACTCCTGATGAAGTTAACAGAGATAGTGAAATATCGCTAATCTAATATATTTTTTGACCGAAAAACCTGATATCCCTCCCAATAGTTTTACTTATTAGACGGCCAATAAGATAAAATCCTAATTAAAAAATAATGGTGTTTTTGCATACCAACACTTCTAAGCCTTTTTATCTTTGCAAAAAAAAATCTTGTTTGTGAGATAGTTAAATTCAAACATATTTTTAAAGATAAATCAACTTTTTATCTAATTTTATCTTAATCTTCTTCTTTTCAAGTTAAAAAATAAGTGTATCTCAAAACTGTTAAAATTATATTTTAATTGTTTACAACTAAAGTAACAGTAATTTGCATTTTTTTACGAGAAACTAAAAGTTAAAATTTAAATTATACAGATATGTATGAAATTTTCGGATAAACTTCAGCGGGTAGGTAAATGAAAATTACTAAGGTCTCGGGAAAATTCGCGTTGAAAATTAGACACTCGACGTTTCAGCACCCATTTTGGAGCCATTATCAAGAGGGATACGGTTCCGTTCGCGTTTGGGTCTCAATCTGCCTACTCTCCTCACTTGTGGCGTACCAGTATCTTGTTCTGTAGAAATTTTGAGATTTTGCATCTAGTTGTTGGTACAAATAGATTAATACAGGAATCTAACACTTCATAAAATTTATCAAAGCTATAATTTACATTTGTCTCATCAATTTGCAACTATGTTATCAATCATCCTGTAATATGCTAACTAATTTTATAATATGAACCTCAAAGTTGTTTGACCTCAAACTTTTATTGCTATCTATTATTATAACAGATATAACTGAGCTTTACTACATTAATCAATCACCCTGTATATGTGTTATGTATAACTTTTTAATTATTGAACAGCTTGTTTTTATTTTATAAATTAAACCATATAATAATCAAATGTACAAGTAAATTTTTAAGCTGAAGAAATGATTACAGCTTAAATGCTATTATTCTAAACTATGATACAATAATTAGTAGATATGGAAAATATAACAATCAATTATGTCAGCATGCTTTTAAAATGTCAATAAAAATGTTTACTAATCTCTACTGTTGATTCATATCTAAATAGAATGCATTAAAATTTATAATTTTCTCTATGGCTTTATCAATGTAACAAGGATTATTATTTATTATTCATTCCTACCAAATTGAATTTTTTACAAACATTTATAGTTTTAGTAGAGCTCATTTCAATTTTATCAATGACAAATTATAATTATTATCATACCTCCAATGTTTCTAAATTTGTAAATAGAACTAATCAACTGGTAACAAAAATAGCTTAGTATTTGAGCTAGTTGTAATGTGAAAAATGTATTAATTTGTAGTTGTTTACCATTAACCTTGTAATGTAAAAAAATAACATCTTTTTTTATTTAAACTGAATTCCAAATACTATATTCTTGGATGTTACCCTTATTATTATTGATGAGAAGTAAAATGTCATGTTTGGATTTATTAGTTCTTAATAAAACATACATATTTAATTAAATTTAAGCTATTAATTATTTTATATTCAATATTGTTCAAATTAAATGACAGGGAGATCTGAAAAGATATTTAAATATAAGGAATACAAAACTTTAAATAGACAAAAATTGTGATTATTATGTGTTTACCCTATGACATTTATAGGAAAACAATTAACAAAAGCAGTAGTTGCTTCAAAAGTTTAAAACAAACTGTTCTTGTATAAAATAAATGTTATATGCACATTAGAAATCAGAAGTATAAAAGGATAACCTATATTGGTAATTCATTTAAATAATTTAAAAATATTCCTCATTTTTATGTTGTTAAATAAATATCAAAATAAAATACTTAAAAAGGAAGGACATACATTGTTTGAAATTAGCTTTGGAAAATCAGTTATAAATGGAATGACTGTTTACTTCTGCAACTTTTTAAAGCTGTGTATATTTTAGGTAGTACTGAAATAAGAGAATGACTTGTTCTACTAATTAGGTTATTCTAATAAACAATTTTCTCTTTTCTTGCAGTAATCAAACAATACAATATTATTTAATATTTCATTTAAAAACAACATACTCATAACAAAAAGACAATTTTCTATTCTCTAATGATATTTATTATATCATTATTTATATAGAATGGAAAGGCCTGTCAGAATAAATATATTTTTAAATCAGTCATACTGATTCGACCTATTTAACACATTTAATTGTAGGACTGTAATTTCAAAAAATTATATTATTACTAAAGAAAGAATTATTAATGCCAGTGTTAAACTGGCACATAAAAACCATTTAGTATAAATTATTAGAACTGTTTATACCTTTGTAAAGAGCTAAGTAAAATATAAACAAATCACTTACCTATAAGCTAAAGACATAGCTTGAAACAGTTTCGCCAAGCTTGTGTCAATGGACAGCTGCTGTTGTGTCTTCTGTAGCACCTTAGAACTATTTCTGTTTTTTGGTTGTACTGAAATAAGAGGCAGTAATGGTACAGTATCATTGTTGCTTTCTGGAAGAGGAACAGCTACATTGTCCTCATCATCTTGTTCTTCAGCCTCAAAAGTTGATACCATAAAATGACCCGAATGTATACACTCTTTCTCGGGCTTCTCTGGCCGTCTAACGTGTTGAATTGTGTACATTTTTCTTTGTTCCTGATTTAATTTAGAACAATATTGAAAATATATACTTTAAAACCTACAATATTCTTTGTATAATACCACCATTAGATTATGTTATCACTACCAGAGAAAGATCAAGGACTGATAAAAGGGTGAAGTTGTTAAATGCGAAGCATCACAACACATCACTAATTAAACCAAAAATTCCATAAATAACTGATAAAATAAAATTGCCTTCACTTTAATATCCATGAAGTTAGTCTTAATAGATTTGTCAATGTCACTCAACAGTTCAACACGGAGATTCTTGACGTATTTCAATTCATGAAACATGCATGGCATAAATGATTTTATGAATGATTTTAACGTCATACTCGAGAATAAATTCGAGTATGACGTTCATGTAATGTATCCATGGACGTATAAATTTATACTCATGAATATATCTGACATAATAGAACGGATTAATAGGAAAACGGGTTTTAAATTTCATAAGAAGGAAGGAGGTTTCATAAGAATATGAAGAATACGACCTTAAATAACAAATAAAATTATACACAAGGCGATGTGAATAGGATAAAAATATAATCACTTTTAATCGATAAAAGAAAAATAAAAGAGTTTTATGCCAGTCTGGAAAAAGAACTCTGATTAACAAAACGTAACTAAACTAAAATTTTAATGACCGACTGAACGAAACTTGAACAAAGCAAAGATGGCAGATACGTGGGTTTGGGGAACGAATGAGCGGAGCAATCGTTTGGTTCAGTTTTGCCAAACCAAAGATTTCGTTATTTATAAACTTCCTAAAATAAAATTATATGCGGGGAAATCTCTCTTGCTTAAAAATAGAAGAAAATAGTATCAAATTAATATCAATCAGATATATTATTAAATCCTAACTAAATATAGATTTCGAAATGCCATTTTGTCGGCAAAATCTTATCCAGGGGCTTATATTGTCTCAGAGTGTCTCAGACATAATCACAGAATAATAACCCAGTAGTAGCTTGCTTCGAATAAATCTTAAACTAAAATAAAGCAGTCTGAGGGTAAAAATAACGTAAAGGTAGATGGAAAAAAATTGTTATTGCTTATTTATAAAAAATGATCTTTAAGTCAAAAGATCCGAATAAAATAGAAGAAAAATAAGAAAAGCAAAGGAAGAGCGATTTACTAATAACTGCAGAGGATGAAGAACTAGAAAGAGCAGTACGCTGTTTTTTGATAATAACTTACAGCAGAATATATAGAAGATTGAATTGTGAAATAAAGTAATAAAAAAATAAATAACCTCAGTATTTGAGAAAACTACCAAATTAGTGCCACAAAATAAATAAAAATCAAAATGCCTACCCTCAGAAGAGTGCCTTTGAAGAGTGTCAGCAGGCGATTGCTATATTTTAAACGAAAACACACTCGGATTGAGAAATTTGTGACTAGCTACGACAGAACTGTAATTTAAATTTTAATATTAATAATTTAGTACCTTTGAGATATTTGTTTTTATATAATATATTGAAGTATATAAAAATAATCACGTAAAACATAAATCATACGACCACTTGTTATAGAAAACGATGTCATAGAAGCAGTGAACGAATTTGTATACCTGGGAACTCTAGTCAATTCTGAAAATGATAGTACCTCAGAGCTAAACCGCAGAATTTGCATGGCTAATACATGCTATTTTAGGCTTAATCTCCTTTTTAAATCTACAGTTATACCAAGAAATACAAATGTAAAACTCTACATAACAATTATACGCCCAGTCCTGACATATGGTTCAGAAACCTGGACTTTAACAAAAAGCAACGAAAACATGTTGGGATGTTTCGAAAGAAAAATACTAAGGTGAATCTATGGAGCGGTAAATGAAAATGGTGTCTGGAGAAGACGATACAACTTCGAACTCTATAGAATATAGCAGGAACCAGATATCGTAAAACACATTAAGATAGGACGCCTGAGGTGGGTAAGCCATATAATATGGATGGAGAAAACTGACCTAGCTAGAAAAACGCTCCTTGATAAACCTATTGGTCAAAGAAGAAGAGGAAGACCCAGAACAATATTCCTAGATAACATAGATCAAGATATCAGAAATAAAATAGATAGGGACGACTGAAAAAAAAAATGCTTGCGGAGGCTAGGACCGACACAGGGTTGTAAAACCAAAATAATGATGACATTTGAAATAATTTAATATATTCTTCAACTAAAAGTACGAATAAAATAGTACATAATATGTCTATAGTTGACGTAAATAAACCGGATTAATTTTTCTATGCACACCAGATAAAATGTCATTGAACAGCACTGGTTCCGTTTAAAACATGGCTGATTCCGTCTGCGCGAACGAGATGCACTTGACAAACAGAGTAGGGCATCTGATTGTTTATTATTATGTGGTACTGCCTCCGAACTGCCGCCAGCCAAGTGACTATTTGCAGATCGATTATTTCTTCTGAATTACTTTAAATAAATACCTTTAAATTAAAGTCACTTCAAATACAAAAAAAAATTCAGTTATAAAGTTACCGAATTTTTGATTTTCAAAACCAATTTTAAAATTTTGAGTCGACAAAGTTTGAAACTGTTTCAGCTTAATAATTAAAATATGGATTATTCTTTGAATTAAATGATGCAGATTCAAATTTTTAGTGACCAATGAAATCGATTGTTTAATAATCGAACTAATCTTTAACATCTCTCATAATCGAATATTAACATATTTTGATTTTGACTTGACTTTTTCATTCTATGAATTTTTCTGAATTTGTCACCGGATAACGTCAATTTTTTTTAAATTGTGTAAGAAGTTTTATAAATTGTTATCTTTATAAAATATTTTCCTAAATTTGAGTAATGAGAATAATCTAATTTAAAATTGAGATCGGTCTCATTTTAGGGTTAACGAAAGAATGCAGTGATTCTGAGGTTTCAACAATAAATATTTGTTTATTATCATGGCTTCCTCCCTGGTAGGCCCCAAACCGAATACAGTTCAGAATATGTAAGTTAAAAACATTTGTTATATTACTTTTAACGATGACAAACAAGCATTATCAGTTTCAAATTTGATTTTGCACTTCTCTACATTGCACATTTTTGCTGTGTGTGCATATTATTTTGCTAACTTTCAACCTTTAAAGTCATATAGCTTCAGAATTTAGAAGGAATATATATATTACAGATGTAGGTGTTAAATTTGCAAACAAATATATATTTGTATTTTCAAACTAAATAGTAATCAATCTAAACTCTTAAATAAATCATTGGACTCTGATACAAAATGCAACTGGTGCATGGCATGATGCAAATTATTATTTTGGTTATTTTAATCACTTGTGGTAAGTAATATGTGGTGAAAGTAATTATATAGTAATACACATAATCAGCTTCTGCTTTTAGGCAGCTTCTGGTATATATAGCTTATAGTATTATTTAAAACATTTGACCATTACTTATTATCTCACTTGTGTATAACACACAAAATAACTTAATAGGGATAAATAATAATAATGTGATAAAACCTGTAATATGTATCCACCATTTTTTCTACAAAACTTGTAATTTGTTTTATAGTGTCGTCCCTTGCTCATAATTATATATTAGCAAAATTTTGGCTTTTCCATTTCTGATTTCAATAGTCAATTATAGATTTATGTATGACAATCTGAATGAATTATGATGCTCATATAAATAAGACGGCATGCCTTTACACAAAGTAACAAATAATAGTATATAAACCTATTTTGTATATCTATTAAGCAAGAAAATTGAAATTATCTCATAATTTTACTACAATACTAATATTTTGTTAAGCCACCCTTGGATTTAAGAAGTGCAGCTAGTCTCCTTGAAATAAACCTTGTTTGTTATTACTTCTTCCGCAAATTTCCAGGGATTTATTTATAGACAGTGAAATAAATTTTATACTGATGATTCAACAATTTATCTTTTCTACATTTATTTATGAATTTTGGTTATAATAAACATTACTCAACAATAATAATCCATTGAAAGATCAAAAAGTGCTGATAAATATGAAACTTTTATTAAATTTGTGTATTAAATCTAAACAGTCACCAAATTTGTCCAATGTTTATAATTTTTTTTATTGAATGGGTACTATTAACCCTAGAACAACAACATGAAAGTAGGGTTGTGATACTAACAATGTGGCGTTATATATGACTCCAATAGAACTGGTAGTAAAGCATAACATTATTTTTTTAATAAAGTGTTCTTATTTTTGGTTATAAACATATATATTTATAAATTTTATACAAAAATGTTTTTGAATAAATAACAAATGAGAAACTTAAAAATAAAACTGTAGTACTGGATAAAAATATAAAAAAATATATTGACAATAGTTTTTTTGACAAAATGCAACAACTGAACAATTTTTTTATATGTAATGACACATAACAAACCAAAGGATACACTTTTATAAACAAAAAGAAATTTATTTGCAGTCACTGCAAATGCACAGGCAGTGTTCGGCGCAGACCATTTTCAGGCAGTGCTCACATTTATCTCATGCTTTTCGGTTTTTTGCTTCTTGGCAAAAGTTACATCAACCCATTGAACCTTGTGGATTTTGTTCTATTATTTCTTCATCTTTATAATTTAAAATGTCTTTGATACTGCAGCGGATTTGTCTTGGCAAGTGATTATTATACATTTGTTCTTTTAAACAATCTTTAACCAAAATAAATGACAGCTCCTTTAGAAAGTTTGATTGAAACAGTGGTTTATTAACATTTAGTTTATGTATGACGTAACTGTTGACTCCTTCAATATCCAACATGCCATAGAAAATTCGCAATGGCCATCTGCAAGTTTTTCTGGCAACTATTGTTAAATGGCAAAGTTGATCAAACGTATCTACACCACCTTTTGTACTATTGTAGAACAAGATTATCTCTGGCTTCCAATTCTTCATCTACATCATCTTGAGTATGCCTAGACAATAAAAGAAGGACGTTTTTTAGACATTTTTAAACAATAAAGTGTTTTTCTCATCAAAAGCAAATATATATGAATGAAACTTATTTTCTTTTTGTTTCAATAAGTTGTCGTGGTATTTTTAACTTGTTTTTTTCTAAGCGTTCTCACTACAGTAAAGCCTTTTTCTCTTAACACTTCCAATACTTGATACGAAGTGAACCAGTTATCCATGATGCAATTCCTATTGGTTCCATATATAGATGCAGTACATATTGTGTTTCGAAATTGAATATTGTGAACAATGGACTTCTTTTCCCACGTAAGACTTTTGGCTGAACACAATATGTAATATGTCTTGGCATCACACATTGTTTGAGCCATATGTCGAAGTACAAGACGTTACCTCAACCTAACAGTAGAAAAATTGATGTCCATCTCTGCCTTTGCCTTGTTGTTAATCTTGTGGTTTTATCATCAAAATAAATTCAAAATGATTTTTGTACCTCGTAGTTCTAAAAACGGCAGGCCTAATGATTAGACCATAAATTGTAACATTTAAAGATTTCAAGACACCACTGAGATAAAGCAATCCTAATAAATGCGCGAATTTTAATGAGGTTTGTTGGTTGAAGATAACATTGTTCAGAACGAAAGCGAGCTTTTTTAATGCCTATTTCACAATTAGTATATGTCACAACAATTTCTAATAGATCGTCTGTAAAAACTAACTGCCACAATTTGTCTATATTCTTTTCATTTCGAGCTGCTCCTTTTAGTTCAGGAAGATGAGTAATTAAATTTTGCAGAGATGTTATTGTATTCTTAGAATGAAAAGGTTTTAGATACCATTTGTGACCATTCTTTGAATAAATTGTTATGTTGCAGACTATCTTTACTTGTAGTTGGTTCTGGACTTTCTACCGCTTCTTCAACCAAAATTTCTGAATTACGTGCATCTAATTCATCTTCTACATGATCTTCAGTTTCCTCCAAATCTCCAGTCCCGCTTTCCTCGCTCCTCAATACATATGTCACCATCTTCAGTGTCGTCCAAAAGCAACTTCTCAAGTTCATCATGAGTTAAAGGCCGCTTTCTTTTATAAAGATTGTTCATGTTGGGGTTGTACTGGTATTTACCTAGTCAAATACAAAATATCTCTTAGTTATAGCAAAATAATAAAATAAAAAAATTACCTGATAAAAATTGATTTTTCACGTAAATAAGGAAATAGAGGAAATTAAAAATGTATGTAAACATGCGTTTCAAATGCCCGTGATTGTTCGCCCTGTATTTCGACCTTTGCAAACAACTTTACGCATTGTAGCCTTAACCAATATCATCAGACTTTCTATATACTGCGGAAACATAGTAATTGTTAATTTTCATGTTTTTTTGATGACATTACGATATGAATTATAATTGTAATATTTTACAAGACCTCCCCCCCCCCAATTGCCTTACGTAATACTTGAACGACCCCACACCTTTAATTTGTGGAGAGATATCAATAAATTTAAATAACCAGCACAATAATTGTTATGGATTTTGAATATGAACGAGCCTAAGTCTAAATTTACCTCTTAATAATTTTTATTTTACAGTAAATACTCCGGTTCTGATGCTGAATTTTGTACGGATGTTACGGGTGAAACCGTAATTATTTCCAGCAATGATGGTAGTCATACTCATGGAAGCTCCAAACTGAAGTTAATAGATAGAATAGATTATAATTGGGAATTTCGTTATTATCATGGGCACCTTGTGGCAGCTCATAATAATGGAAAAGTTATTGCCTATGCAATGAAAGGTATTTAATCTAGATAAATTAATAATATGACCCAACTATATTGCTATACTTTATTTTTCAGGAAAGGATGGTGGTATGGTGAGAGTAACCAACCAAGAAACTGGTACAAGAGCTCTAATAAAGAATTTTAAAGACGATATTAAGGACATTGCTTTTGCCTATTTAAGAGACGAAATTATTTTGGGTTGCGTAGATAGTGAAGGAAATGTATTAGTCTACAAAATAACTGATGAAACGAAGTCAATATCGTATCCTTATGAAAAGGCTATCTCATAATTAGCTGTAACGCTACTAATGATGATGAAAGCTTTCTATAAATTTATTTATTTAGCCCTACAGGCATTGAAGACCTAGGTGTTTGTATAAATTAAAAGTTAATATTTACATATTGTCAACTTTCTGCTATTTTTTATTCTTGATTCTGTTTTTCGTAGATGACACTTGCTGAAGTAGGTATCTTCTAAATATGAAATTTCCATTAACTGTACAAAAACTTTTAATTAGTTTGCCATTTAATTAGTGCTCACACATCACCTAGCAATTTAATATAATTTCTTATTACTATTGTGACTTTCTTTATCTGGGGGTTTCTTTTTCCACACATCGGCTTTTCAACTCAGATTAACAATCACCACTGAGTTTTGTTATGCATGTTTTATTCATAAAAAGTTTATATCTTCCAAATATTGTAACTTTTGAAAAATCCAGTACATTCCATCTTCGTCCAATTTTCGATTATTTTATTAAATTTTATAAAATCACCCTGTACACGAGTTTAATTTCTAAAAAAATTACCCAAGAAATTATATTAGACTACTACTTTCTAATAAAAGAATCGTTAAATATGTTTAGCTACTTCCTATGAAACTTTTTGTACCGCCTAGGTGCTAATATAACTCCCGTTAGGACTACCATCTCGCTATTTTCCTTAAAGTTGTCGATGGTTTTTGTTTTGCAAAATATACAAACTAATCCCTCAAATAGTTTAGGCGCGAGAAATATGTCGTTAAAGACCACATTATAGGTCGATCTATTTCGTTCTCCACGTTGGGCACCCGTTTTGTGTACCTGTATTCTTAGTTTACTTCTTAGTAATCTAGTTCAGATGTATGGTACGCAAGACTCTGGTACATTAAAGGTTTGAAACCCTTCTATTCATATAATGGTTAAGATCAGGAGGCTCCAGACTCTGACTTAATGATGCGTTGAGAGTATCATTTTAACATTTCCTTTCTGTTATTATTGCTATATTTATTTGTTTTCTATGTTTTACCCGTTTGTATATTTATTTGATCTCAGTATATATTTGTTTATGATATTCTTGTTAGTGTTTTATATACTTTGGATAAGTCAGATGGAATGATGTATTTTTTTGCATAATCCGTTACTTACCAGAGAATTCGTTGGAAATACTTCTTAATTTAGCGGTTTCCCGGGCACGGTTTTAGCGGGCACCCGTTTTGTGTACCTGTATTCTTAGTTTACTTCTTAGTAATCTAGTTCAGATGTATGGTACGCAAGACTCTGGTACATTAAAGGTTTGAAACCCTTCTATTCATATAATGGTTAAGATCAGGAGGCTCCAGACTCTGACTTAATGATGCGTTGAGAGTATCATTTTAACATTTCCTTTCTGTTATTATTGCTATATTTATTTGTTTTCTATGTTTCACCCGTTTGTAGATTTATTTGATCTCAGTATATATTTCTTTATGATATTCTTGTTAGTGTTTTATATACTTTGGATAAGTCAGATGGAATGATGTATTTTTTTGCATAATCCGTTACTTACCAGAGAATTCGTTGGAAATACTTCTTAATTTAGCGGTTTCCATCTCAACTTTGTGAGTATCCGAGTTTTTATGTACATTTATTTGAGAAGTAAAAGTTCTCTTATGTTTTGTTAATGTTTAGATATGTTGCAATAAGGCAAAGTTGCCATATATGTCTACATCTATGTATTTAGGCCTAGAGGGATCAGATCATTTTTAGTTAGTGCACAGTGAGAGTAATAGCTCGATTATGTATGTATACACACAATAATATGATATTAGGTGTATATGTTTTATTTTATATTTTTCTCCATTACTGATACAATTCAAACATCTAATCTGTATACATATCTTTGTTTAGTGTGTGAATATAGTATCAAGGATTAGAGATATTCCGTATTATATCACTAGTTTCCTATAGTTTAAGGATTTCCATGTTACGTAATACTATTTTCACTCGTGTATCCAATGGAAACCAAATAACGACTTTATTGCAGACACGAGGCACGAATGAAGACTAGGGACAATGGTTATGAACCCGTCAGTTGACTTGCCGGAATTATATATGTCTCTAGGTCCTGTGTAAAGTCTTAGTGCACACTGGGAATAGTCCTGTTGATCCCAAGACGCCCTTTGTACATGTACCTTAATACCCCTGTTCCGAATTTTCATTTCAGTTTTAATGAGTTTGAAGTAGTACACCCTTAGTGAAGAATCTTCCACCCTTAATATTCTTCAAAAATTGTATTTTTGTATTTTCTCGTTAGGATATTTGACATTACCCGAATGTGACTTTTCCCTATTTTTTTTGACCCTACCGAATGTGTACCTGGTTAACATAATACACGTAGCTATCATCCCATTCTAACGATTTAAATATTCAACTTTCAGTATATATACCACCCATAATACATGATATGTGATATGGGTGGTATATAGATGGTATAATTTTGTTGTGATAGATGGTATAATTTTTTGTTTAGAAAGACCTTTATAGTCTTGTTTTGTTTAGACCTTTGAATCTAGTTTTCTTGCATACAAATTAGATTAATACCAAACTATGTATATAGATTTCACAGCGATGTAAAATAAGGGTCTGTTCCTAGTCCTAAGCAATTATCTTAGCTAGTTTTCCAGTCTCCATTTATATTGAAAATACCTCCCCTCTTTGTGTAGTAGTTTGATGTAATATTACGGTTTAGAGATCTTTTAGTATTGATACATTAGCCTCGCTTATCTTAGTAAGATGTCAGCCTGTTGGTCGGGGCGCTTCAGCATTCGAATTTGTATATAATCATATATAGATATATTCATAATATGTATATGTTGTAGGTTGTATCTATAGATCAAAGTTAATTTTCTTTCTTAGAGCTTTGAATCGTATTCAGTAGCGCGTAACAGTTTAACCCGTCTCTTCGAGGTTGTCTACTATGGATTCATGTGACTAGTTGCTAGTTTAGGTAGTAGCATGTACAGTTTTGTATTTTTTTTATGTCACTTTTAATTCCCTTGTTTAGGATCCGATGCTAATCGCTGATGGATCAGGTTTACATCGTAGTCGGGGCTGTATAACTTATCAAAAATCTGGTACGTTACATCTTATCCAATTTTCGATTATTTCTGTCCATTTCGTGCCCCACGTTGTGCGCCAATTTCGTGTACCAGTATTCTATGTTTACTTAGTAATCTAGATTACATGTATGGTGGAATAGTATTTTTTTGTTAGGATAAATACACCTTTTATGATCTGGAGATTTTTAACTAAAAATTGAGTTTCGTCGTTGAGATAGTTGTTTATTCACCTTAACAATATACTTTTAGATATACATTACTTTTACATGTATATCATCATCGTTCAAATATATCGAAAATTAATTATAGACTTATATGGTGTCCTTATATGGCGGTTGACGATGATGAAGCTAGTGATGATCCAGAAAAAATGTTTGTAGTACTTAATGGAAACAGAGGTAAGATTTTTTCTTATATATTAATTGCATATAAGAATCATAATTTGTTATACTATTTGGTTTTTATTAGGTGGTAGAGGTGGTCATTCTTCAAATGATGGTTGATATTTTTAGCTCAGTCTCAGCCAGTTGACTATTGTACCATGACTTAAGAATTGGCGAAATTAGTGTCCAGTGCTATAGTCCATTTCACAATTTTTGACTGATTTAATATTTGAAAACCTTTGAAGTAAGATGAAACTGTCAATCAATTTACCAATGGCGAGGATAAATATATTTTTTAGATTAAAATTAATCAATCGCAATTTCTTCCCATCTTCTTCCTCGTCTGTTACATCTTGTTCCGATTTACTTCCGCCATCACATTCCTCAATTTGATCGATTTCGTTTTGACTTCCCACATCGTCAAAATAATATTCATTGTCGGTAGGAACCATTTTCCATTATTCCAACAAGCGTTTTTGTTCGGCTTCAAAGGACATCTATAAATAAGAATTGACAAAAACTTACAGATAAAATACAATAAAAAGATGCTAAATATTTACCTGATCTGCAAATTATGCCAACAAGTAATAGCTACACGGTTGGTCGCTACGGAGTCTCGCACCGAAAATAACTATAACACTCGCAAAACTGTACCCAGGCAGGTAAGAATGTACACTAACACGAGTTTGGTTGATAGAGATACAGAAAGTGGCGATAGAATAATAACAGTTATTTGCAAATCCCGAATGAATAATTGTGTCGTCGGTGTGTGACACCGATAGCGACTAACGGAGGGTTAAACTCGTAATTAAAATAAATTTAAAACATATTTTTAGCCGCAATATACAATTTAAGTATGTTAAGTGAAAAATGTCATGTAAACAATTCAATCGATCCTGACGAAACCTTTGAAGGCTACATAGAAATTAATCACAACGCTGAAGTAATAGATGCTGCATTTTCTTCAGATGGTAGTCACATAGCGATAGCAACTGGTGATGGATATGTTAAATTTTTTCAAGTAAGTAGATATTACTAATTTGTATTTAAACTTTGACGGTATACAAGGCAACTATCGAACACGGTGATTAAATTATTCTTGCCCAAGTACTGTCGATCAATAGATCATCTTCAGGGGCATTTCGTCAGTTGTGGCCTATCCGACATGAGTAGAAATGTAAATTTGGACATAACAATACAAAATACAATACACAAAGACAAACAAACACTTTAAAATTTTTGAAGAGGAGAAGCTACATGTTGTATAGAAGCCGGAGACATTCTGTCTCCGAAAATGACCGACTCATGAAAAATGAGTGTGACTCATTAGGCTAATTATCTTAGAAGTACATATGAAAAATGAGTTTGACTATTTATTTAATTTGTAGTGAATTTTTCATTAAAAACGTCTCATTCGATGCTTTAGGAATAAATGTAGATCATCTCTCTCCATCCACATCTTTGCGGTTTTTTAGCAGGCATTAATTTGACACTTCACTTCACACTTAATTTATGTTAATATGGTAATGATTGAATTTAAGCGATATTAACATTCTTTTACTATTTACCATTTTTAATCATTAAAAATAAAAATAAAGTGTTAAAATAATTCAGCTAAACCGATAAAGCATTCAAGCTGAACAGTTTCATTAATATGTTCTGCACTTTTTTCACCTTTCTATTTAGTAATTAGGCATGTCTTATATTCTAGACATTACAGAAATTATTCTATTTTTAAATAATAATAATAAAGTTTTTATATATGTTTAATCAATACTCTTTTTCAGTTATATATGTTTAACTCGGAGAAGCAAAAATTTCTTTATGAGTGGCAACCTCATGGTGGTACTCCTCTTTCGTCCCTTATATTTATAGATAAAATCTTGGAGTATAGTTCAGAGTAAGTACGTTTTTAATAATGTTTTTAAACCCCCTCTGTGGCTCAGTGGTAAGAGCGCCTGCCTTTAAATCTAAAGGTCGTGAGTTCGAATCCCACCTGGGTGGAAATTTTCTTTTATTAAAAAAATTAATAAATGAAAATAATTTCTATCCTTGTGTGATCGGTACACACCGGAGGGACCGCAGACGTTCGGATACAATTAGCGTCTCTTAGCAAAGACAATGACGTCGACTTTGCTAAGTATCAAGACAATTACTCTACACACACACACACACACACACACACACACACACACACACACACACACACACACACTACACCTCAAATTGTAAAATTGGCGAATGGATTTAGTGTCCGCAGTCATTTAAACACAAACAAACAACAACAACAATAATGTTTTTATATTCCCAATTTTTTTGCAATTTCGAGATGGAATAGAGATAAATATATCCGTCATTTTTTATTGATAGATGTTAGTCTCTTTTAACACAGCAAATTTAATGGCAGTCAAAGATAAAAAATTACGTAATCGCTCAATAAATAAAATAAATATAAATTCATTCATAAAATGAATTATACTAAGGCGTTACTAACTGGCCATAAACTCATTAACAAAAATAATCTATAAAACAATATTTACACACTCAAAATTGGTCAATAGTGTCAATAGTTCACCTCGTCCCATATTCTATCGGGGATTGAAAAAACCCTGGGAATAAATGAATCTATTTTGTTTAAATGAATTTGCAAAAAAATAATTAAACTTAACCACATACATGGGTTTTTCCGCACTAAACTGTGCTTAAAGAACTAGTAAGTTGATATCAGCGGCCATAGCGATAACAAACTAATGAATTATATCAAATCGGGATTTCGGATTTTTTTATAACCGTTTCCCAGCCTATTAACTTAAAAACATAACACCCATATACACGCATAGAAACACTTACTTCTTGTAAAATCTTATACGTTCTATATCTACAGATAAAATTTGGTATGTTCGCCTACTAACATCACAAATCCGCTCTCTTTCGTCTAAGAAAGTCACATATGAATAACTGTGATGTTTTTAAGATAAAATAATTCGACTACCTAAACTACATTCACTTTACAAATTCCCAACTGTCAACAAACGCACGTGAAAGCCAAACAGGGTCGTACTGAGGTGTATCATATGATTTTTAAAAAATATTTACTTTTGAAACCATTAGTGTAAGAATTTTTTGAAATTTAATCATTGTGAGAAAAATTAAATGTTCCAAGAAAAATGTGATAAAATAAAATAATCATTAACTGAGAGATACATAACAAAGTAAACATTTTGATAAAGTGGCATTGTCATAAGTTTATCAAAGCATAAAAACATACCATTTAAACTACTCAGAGTCTGAGGAGCTACATGTGCTGCTGTCTTCGTCTGGATTTATTATTATAGGTTCGATATGGTTCTCTATTATATTGGCCAAGTTCCACATTTTGGACTTACTTTTTGTTGAACGTGTTGCACACATTTCTGCCACCTTGTTGGACTAATAATATTTATTGCATAATGAAAAATATTTTTCATATCTGCAATTTTAAAAGTAGTGTTTTTTGGCTGCTACATAATTTTTTACTTTTGCCCAGATGGCTCAAGGGGATTGAGCTCACAATGATATGGGGGCAGCCTTAACACTACTTTGTTTTGGCTTTTTGCCATCTCATCAATGATATATTTATTATATTGTTCCTCATGTTCCTTAACGATAGCCAGCAGTTTCACCTTTAACATGGAGTCCTCAAATCCTATATTTTTTTATTTCAGCCACGCTTGGATGTCACATTTTCTAGAAGCAGTAGTTTTTTATGGAATGATAAGACGCGTTGTCCAAGATGATGATGGAGTTGTCTGCTAATCCGGGCAGTATAGTTTTGAACCAATTTTCGAAAGATTTCCCGTCCATCTTCTTCATGTTAGTCCCTACTCTTTTTTAATTTAAACACCCACAACACTCCTGGAACAAACTCATCTTCACTGCGTATGTGACAGATTATTAGTCTTTTTCCTTTTCCTGATAATTTTATTATTTTAAAATTTACTTGAAGTGAAAAAGCACATAAACATTTACCTGCAGGATAATTTAGCTATGTATATGCCAAATTTCAATACAATCCAAGCGGTTGTTTAATATTTACAGCAAAAACCGTGAACAAATGGACTAAAAAGGATATAAAACTTTTCGAAACATTAATAAATTAATATATTGGTTTCTCTTACCTTTATTAAAGTGATTACTGCAAGCTATTTTTACTTTTGATTAACAAATACTTTGTTTTTGGATACTTACACACTATAAAACTTAATACTAAACACTTAAACTGAACTCTAAAAAATAACACGACTAGTAAATCACTTAACAATAATTATAACATATAACACACAATATATTAACTTGAAAACCAACCTAAAAATACAATTTGAATTTAAACATACTGGCAAGTTTGGATCTGTAAAATGAGAATCCGTCTGGCTTAAGGCTCTTATATTGAATAGCCTCTTGACGAATGAGAGGGCGAATATCAACACGTGCGTTTGTTTACAGTTGGGAATGTGCTGAACGAATGTACCATAATTATAAATATTTTGTTATGTAATAAAGTTGGCAAATAAATAATATTAATAATATATATGGTTGTCATGGTTAAAGCTTTATAATAGAGCATATTTGAAAATTGTACTTTTTGTACCTCTTGAACAGATGACAATGGTTCCAACAGTCCCCCATTCATTTTTTCTAATTCAAAGTACTCGATTAAATTTAACACGAGCTCTTGTGCTTGTGAGGTACGAGTTTTTTCCAGGCGTAATCTAAAAAATTAATAAAATACATACATTCATAACAAAACCTTTCCTTAATTGTGTGAATGAGGTTAACTTTCTATGTAAATTAATGGCAAAATAAAATACACTTATACATTTTCAAACTCCAATATAAAATTAGTTGTCAAAACAACTGTTTGGGTATTTCTAAATGCAAAAACAGGACAAAAATAGCAAACAATCAAACAAACTGACAGCCTTAAGTAAACAAACCGAAACGTCATGAATTACTTAAAATCTAAAAACCTCCCCAAGCGTCTTTTTTGTCATCATCATCTTTGGCTTGACAATCCTCTGTGGATCTTGGCCTGCTCTAAGATTCGTCGCCATTCTGTTCGGTTTTTGGCAACATGTTGCCATCTTCTGATTTTTAATATTCGTAAGTCGGTTTCTACTCCATCTAACCACCTAATTCGCGGTCGGCCTTTGCTTCTTTTTCCTACAGGTGTTCCTGTGGTTAGCTTTTTAGCAATGGTATTTTCTGGCATTCGTATTATGTGTCCAGCCCATCTAAGTCGCTGTGTTTTAATGAACGTTATGACATCTGGCTCATCAAAGAGCTAATACAATTCAAAATTATATCTTCTGCACCACTGCCCTTGGTCGTTTACAGCTCCAAATATTTTGCGGAGTATTTTACGCTCAAATATTCCCAAAAGTCTTTCATCTTTCTGCGTTAGAGTCCATGTTTCTGCTCCATATGTGAGGACCGGCCTCAGCAATGTTTTGTATATAATAATTTTAGTTCTTCTTTGAATGTTTCTTGAGTGGAAATGCTTTTGGAGTCCATAGTATGCCCTATTTGTAAAATTTATTCGTCTTTTGATTTCTTCGCTTGTTTTATTGGTAGCAGTCAATAGCGACAAAAGGTATGTGAAGTTGTCATCACGTCCAAAAGTATGACTTCCAAAGACTGTTTCCCGTTCCTCATTTGCTATCGGATCCTTTGTAACCAACATATACTTGGTTTTGTCTTCGTTGATGACTAGACCGACCTGTTTCGCCGCTGTTTCCAATTCTAGGAGATATTGCTCAACATCTCGCTTGCTACGCCCTACTATGTCAACCTTGAGACCATTCACAAAGCATGGTCTCATGCCAAACAAGAAGTAAAAGCTTATGCAGTGTCTGTAGTAGGGCATTGCTACCATTCTTGTAGAGCTCACTGCAAATTTGATCAACTACTGGTGATTTATTATTTTTAAGCTTTTTAATGGCTTGGGCAACGTTTTCGATGATAGGTGGTCTTTCGTTTGGGTTGAAAGGATTCCAATCATTTCGATTTGCTAGGGTGTTATCTGCCCTCTTTTTTGTACCTATCTCTTTTTGATGTACTCTGTCTAGAACCTTCATAAATATAACATGTATATTTAGTTAATACAGGAGGTAGCTGGTTTTTCTTTAGTTTCATGCGTGGAAGACATTGATGCAGAAAGTATGTGTTTTATCTCGCCAGGTAATAATGACGCGTGGGTAAAAAACCATGGAATTGTACACTGGCTGTAATAAAAAATCTGCTAATTTTATATTTTTCCAAATATTTTGCAGGTGCTGGAAATTTACAATAACAGGAGCAAACGATAATTCTGAAATCAAACTGTGGTCTTGCGAAACTTGGACCTGTTTACAGACAATCCACTTTAAACCCCATCCTAATTCAATATCTGGCCTGTACCTCAACGTGTCAATTGACTATAGCGGCCAATATCTACTGGTATCAGATATTAATTACAGAGTTTTATACGTGTTAGAATTAAACAGAAATGACAAAGAACAAATGGTACAAGTCACAAGGATAGCGGGGTTTTTATTACCAGCTCCTTTCTTGAGTTTTCACATATTAGAAGCTACTAGTCGCACAATGCCATTTTCTTACAATAATAGTACAGAAGATGAATTTTATGAAGAGAGAGATGAATTTGATGAAGATTCAGAGAGGACGGCAATTTGCTTGAAGATGTTAGTTATACAACCTAAGAAGTTTCAAGAATGTAATATAGTTTTCCAACCTGAAACTATGTTTTATAATACGTTAAATAGTTCTGCAGAAGTGGTGGAGAAAAACGAAAAATTCCCCAAATTGGACGATCTACAAGAGTCAGTATCATTGCTCATACAACAAAAAAGCAATTCAAATTTAACTTTAATGACACCAGATGACTTTACACCTTCAGGGCGAAATACTCGACCGAACAGTGTTAGAAATGAAACAAATAATTCTTTAGACGCATCTATAGCAGAAGTAAACGATGTCGTCGTTGATAATCTTATAGATTTCCAAAGACCTCAAAAAGACAATTTTGCCAGTGGTGGATCCAGTCCGAGCAGAGAGGTGCAAGAAATATTATCTTTGAACAATTCTACGTACAGCACTCAAGACTTCTTTGACAATCTTCCCAAACTTCAAGACAATCAAGAGGAGCCCCAAAAAGACTACTCAAATCAGACTAGCCTTAACTATCCGGAAAAGATCACTAACGAATCAGTTTGGCAAAATGTACCTGTGGTTCCAGAAAATGAGATTATAAAAGACGAAGCTCTAAGAAAAGAATTAAGGTAAGCATTTTTAACCCATATTGGGACTCTATTTACAGTATATAAAGTGTACTTTTTTTTTCTGGCATAAGTAACACCGATCTTGTCGCCCTTGTCCCAAAGCTATGATAATTCCAGGTGGATTTATATATTGTTTGTAATCTTCTGAATGCTGCCCATGGTAGCAAATCCTCTATTTAAATCAGCCGTTAGGTTAAACTTTATTAATTCGATGATGATACTTCTTCTTCTTCTTCGGGTTCCTTCTCCTAGCGGAGGTTGGAAATCATCATCGCTATTTTAACTTTGTTGGCCGCATTTCTGAATAATTCTAATGAGCTGCAGCCGAACCACTCTCTCAAATTTCTTAGCCAGGACATTTTGCGTCGTCCAGGGTTTCTCTTCCCTTGCATAATCAACCTCAGTAATACGTACTTCTCACCCCTCATTAAATGTCCCAGATATTGAATCTTTCTAATTTTAACAGTTTTTATGACTTCACATTCTTTATTCATTCTTTGTAACACCTCTATATTAGTTACTTTTTCAATCCACGATATTTTATGCATTCTCCTGTAGCACCACATCTCAAAGGAGTTTAATTTTTTGATTTCAGACTGCTTTATTGTCCACGCTTCCATGCCATATAGTAAAGTAGAGAAGACGTAACAACGTAGCATTCTTGTGCGAATCTCTAGATTAAGGTTACGGTTGCAAAGTAATTTCTTCAATTTTATGAACGTGTTTCTTGCCATTTCTATTCTAGATCTGATCTCCTTTACTTGATCTCCATCTTCGGTTAGCCACGTTCCTAAATATTTATATGTTTTTACTCTTTCTATCGTTGTATTATTGATGATCAGGTTATTTACATTTTGTGGTTTTTTTGAGAATATCATTGATTTCGTTTTCTTGAGATTCATTTGCAGTCCGTAACTCACGTGCATTGTATACATGTTGTATTATGTACTGTAGATCTTCCATGTCACTTGCAAATATGATAGTATCGTTGGCATATCTAATATTATTAATGCTATTTCCGTTGACATAAATACCTTCCACGGTATCCAATAAAGCCTCTTGAAAAATCACTTCACTGTAGACGTTGAATAAGAGTGGTGAAAGGATACACTCTTGTCGAACTCCTCTAAGTATACTTACTTCCTCTGTCAGTTCTCCTTCGACTCTTACTCTTGCTTTCTGGTTTTGATACAGATTCGATATAATTTGTAGATCTCTACTATCAATGTTTTTAGTCTTAAGAATACTTAAAAGCTTCTCATGTTGAACTCTATCAAAAGCTTTCTTGAAATCTATAAAGCAAGCATATATGTCCTGATTCATATCCAGGCATCGTTGTGTCAGAACATGGACTCCAAATAATGCTTCTCTAGTTCCTAGACCCTTTCTAAAACCCATCTGTGAATCACTTATTTCTTGTTCTAATTTCATGTGGATTCTGTTATGTATGATTTTAAGGAAGGTTTTCAATGTGTGGCTCATTAACGCAATTGTTCGATAGTCATTGCAATCTTTAGCATTTGTGATTTTTGGAATCGTCACAAAAGTTGAGAGAAGCCACTCTTTGGGTATGTGTCCCGTTTTGTATATGGAGTTAAAAAGGTCTACCAAGACATCAATATTATCTTCATTAATTATCTTCAATAGTTCAATTGGTATTTCATCGGGTCCTGGAGCTTTTCTGCCTTTTGTGTGTTTTATAGCATACATAACTACCTCTTTCATTATTTCTGGTCCCGTGGTTTCTCCGTTAACTTGTAATAATTGTTCTACTTTTTGATCATAAAATAGTTGTTCAATGTATTCTTTCCATCTACGTAGTTTGTCTTGCGTTTCAGTTTATAGTGGTACCATCTGCATTTTTTAATATCCCGATTGGTTTGTTACGATTTTCCTGAAATCATTTCTTTAACCTTCTTATGGGTGTTGAAAGTGTCATACCTTGCCTCACATTCCTCGATTTCTTGACATTTAATGGACATCCATGTTTCTTTAGCTTGTATTATTTTCTGTTTTATTTGTTTATTAATTTCTTGATATTTAATTTTATCTTTGTTTTTATGTGTTCTTCTTTCGTCCATCTTTTCGAGAATTTCTTGTGTCATCCATTCTTGTTTGGCAGCTTTTGTAAATGTTAAAGTTTTCCGTCCCACAGTCTCGATTGCGTTCTTTATATTCTTCCACTTTGTGTCAATATAGCGGCGTCCTCATTGAGTTGACATTGTCGATCGACTCTGTCTATCGACACTGTCGACCGACAAATCGAAAAAGCTTCGATGTCCACACCAGGTAGGCAGAATATTTGTCGACAGTCGAAACGAAAATGTGTGACGAAGATGACGCCATTATTGTTTGTGCCGCATTTGTTATTATCACAACTAAAAAACGTAAATTATCGCGTAAAAGAAGATTTTGGGTTCGACCAAGCCTTCAAAGTAGAAATCGGTATAGCGGTAGTAACCTGATGGAAGATTTGAAAAAGGATGATATCGATCTATTGAACCTTGAATACAGATGTAACGGAGGTTTCAGAAATTTTTTTCGAATGTCGGAAAGTGAATTTGAATATTTGTTGCAAAAAATCGGGCCGAAAATTTGTAAGCAAGACACCAATTGTAGACATGCCATTCCAACAAAGGAGCGTCTCGCTGTGACATTACGATTTTTATGTAGTGGAGATTCGTATCACTCACTGATGTATCTCTTCAAAATTTCAAAACAAGCAATTTCTCAAATTATTCCGGAAGTCTGCGATGCCCTTATTGACACATTACAAGATTACATAAAGGTAAGTAGAGTTTTACTAAAACTACATTCATACTGAAAGAGGTATATTATAATTACATTATCGAATTTTATTAACTAAAACGAAACTTACCAAAACGTACCAAAGTAGTAAAATGTAGTGAACTAATTCGGAAATAAAATTAAGTTTTCAAATAAATGTACGTATCAAACACAAAATTAAAAATAATGCTGGTTATATCTACTGTGCTTATTGTGAAGTGCCACGTCCCGGACGTTGTAGTTGTTGAATTAAATTATCTATGGCTTCGTCATCTTCAGTACCTGATTCTGCCGGAGTTGAGGGGTTAGTAAAAGAAGAACATGAAGAATGCTCTGGGGATGGTTGCGGTATTAAAGTCGTTATTGAACCAACAGGATATTGCTGCAGCTGATGCTGAGGATAATATTGCGGTGGTGGCTGTTGTGATACTGGATAGTTGTAATTGCAAAATTTTCCTTCAAACAGAAACGTGCTTATCATGTGTTGCACTGTAGCTTGAGCATAAGCGGTAGGCAAATTTCGTAATGTAACAGCAACTTCTTCTCCAAATACGCTAAAGACGTTCTTTTTATTTCTCTCCAAAAACACCTGTGTCATCATCCTGTATGCATCATTAACCATTGGGTCATCACCATTTCTCTTCTTGGAATGCACATGGTCAAGATTTGGTGACTTGAACTGTTTTTTCGGACTTGTGTTTCTCTTTGTGCGTTCAACTTTTTCGGCATTTCCAGCATTTGCATTATTACATTCTGCTAGATTGTTTTCTGTTGAATCATTTGTGGTAATAAAATCGTGACTATTCTCATCATTTTCAGTGATGTCATTCACATCTCCTTTATCTTCCAAAGTATCTACTTCAGTTGAAACCTGTAATCAAGAGTATATATATATATATATATATATATATATATATATATATATATATATATTAGATTAATTGGAAATTAAATACGTTAGATAATAAAAATAAATAGGTCATTTTATTTCAGATGCCTAAAACTGAGGCAGAATGGAAAGCTATTGCAGAGGACTATTACAATCGTTGGAACTTTCCAAACTGTGTCGGAGCTATGGACGGAAAACACGTAGCATTGCAAGCCCCAATAAATAGCGGCAGTGAATTTTTTAATTACAAAGGATTCTTCAGTATTGTTTTATTTGCCGTAGTCGATGCAAATTATAATTTTATTTATGCCAATGTGGGATGCCAAGGGCGTATTTCAGATGGTGGTGTGTTTAGTAGCACTGTATTCAATAAATTTCTTGAAGAGAATACAATGCATTTGCCTGCGGAAAACCTGCTTCCAAAGAGTGATGTAAAAAGCCCATTCATTTTTGTGGCAGATGATGCATTTCCTCTGTCTACAAACATAATGAAACCTTATGCAGGGCTTCACCCTAAAGGTTCTAGTGAAAGAGTATTTAATTATCGCGTTAGCAGGGCCCGGAGATTATCTGAAAATGTTTTTGGCATAATATCTAGCGTATTTAGAGTTTTTCGCAAATCAATGCTATTAGAACCGACTACTGCTTCTAAAATAATCTTAACAGCATGTTATCTGCACAACTTTCTTAGAAAAAGCGCATCCAGGAATATTTACAATCCTCCTGGAACATACGATGCTGACTGTTCTGACACCACAGACTTGATTCCAGGAGCTTGGAGAAGTGAAGTTTGTAATCAACCTGTATTAGTAAACTTAGCAAAAATACCCAGAAAAAGTGCACTGAGTGCTCTACATGTGAGAAACGTGTTAAAAGACTATTTTATGACACCAGAAGGAGAAGTGCCTTGGCAATACTTAAAGTGATAAAATGTGTATTAATATTATGTAGCCTAATAAAAAAGACATTGTAGGTGTAAAATATATTTAATTTATACATACCTCTGAATCCAACGTCTCTCTGGTCTTATTTTTGTCACGTAAAAATCTTAAACTTTCATAAGCAAACCATTTACTTTTGTGGCTTTGAAGATTTTTTATTTTTTGTTCTACCACTTGCTTTTCTATGTTAAATTCACTGGCAATTTCCATCAAAGGATCGTGCCTCATGTTTCGATCTTTATAATATTTGCTTCTAGTGTTCCATAGATTTGTTTTTAATTTATAAGCTTCAATAAATGCAATCACTTTTTCTTTTTCCCATTCCATTTTGCCAACAATTACAAAACACGAGACTTTAAATGAAGCAGACTACACCGCACGCTGAATTATTTTTACTGTATTTTTATATAATGTCGAAGGTCGAACGTCGAATGCACGTACACACTTCCGATTCGACTCGACTACCCTTTGATTTTACCGACAGAGCACGGAAAACCAGTCGACACGTCGATCGACATCTTTTGTCGATCGACAAAGTCGATTGCCGCGTACACACTCAGTCGAGAGTGTCGATAAACACAGTCGATCGACAACGTCGACTCAATGAGGACGCCGCTTAACTGTAGTGTTCTTATTTTGTTGTTTTATTTCTTGGATACTGTGATTTATTTTGTTTTGAGTTTCTTGGTATGTATTTGGTTCTCTTAACTTATCAATGCATATTTGTGGTCTAGATCTTTTCATTAACGGTTTTTTCAATCTTACATTCATATTTGCTACTACTGGGTTGTGGTCCGAGTTTACATCTGCTCCAGGGTAAGTCTTCACTACTGTAATAGAGTTCTTGTACCTGTTCCTTATCAAGATGTAATCTATCTGATTTCTTATGATTCTATCTTTGCTGTCTCCAGGAGCTTTCCACGTGTAGAGCCGGCGATTTGGTAATTTAAACATTGTATTCATAACTACTAGTTCTTCTATTTGGCACATCTGAATTAGTCTTTCACCACGCTCATTTCGCTCTCCCAATCCATACATTCCAACACAACTATCCACACTTCCTCTGCCCACTTTGGCATTAAAGTCACCCATTAGTATCAGAACTTCACGTTTTTTTGTTGTTTTCATTATTGTTTCTAATTGCTCGTAGAAGTCTTCTATTTCTTGTTCCTCCTTGTCAGCTGTTGGTGCATATACTTGAATAACATTCATTTTCCCTATATTGGTGTTAATTTGTAGCATTATAATGCGATTCGAAAGCGGGGTGAAACCAAGTACGGATTTATCTATTTCCTTGCTTACCATTATGGCCACACCATATCGGTTTGTTCTATCAGAATATCCACTATAATATATAGCTCCGTTTCTAGTCCGTTGTTTTCCAGACCCTGGCCATTGTACATCGCTTATTCCTAGAATTTCGATATTTAATCTTTCCATTTCTATCGCAGTATTATCTACTTTACCTGATTGTAGTAAGCTTTGCACGTTCCATGTTGCAATTCTCATATTTCCTCTTGTGGCAATTTTTAAAAGTGTTCTATTATTTACATCACAGGGATTTCGCTGGCTTACGACCTGGGAAGCCCTGTGGCTAACTAGTGATTTACTTCCCCTGCCGAATCTTGGTTTCCGCGGCTCATGATCAGTAAGGTTACTCATTTGGTTATTGCTAGCCATGATGATTGTACTAGATGCTCTTGTGAGCCTTTACTGCAGTGGTTTCTTGTGGCCTTCTGTAGTCTTATGTCGTTGACCATCTTCCTGGTTCATCCGCCTTTGAGACCGATTTCTCAATCTCAGGACAAAAGAGTGCCCTTCCACCAACCAGCTCGTCCGCCCGAAGCCGTTGACCAGAAGGTGGGGGATTGCTTATACCGGCAATCGCTCGGTGGTTTTTCGCCATATCTGGCTACCCTCACTTAGTTTAGCCTGCAGACCAATGCAGTTGCCCGGGGTGTGGCACGTGGAGCTATAAGTGAGAGTTAGGTGTCTTGTGAGGACCAGTTATCAAGAACCATCTCCCGTCTATGACGCTCGATGTGGTCGTTCCGATAAAAGGTACTACCTCTATAACACAACCCTACACCCCAATGATACTTCATAATTTGCTAAAGATCGACTTTGTTTTTGTCCTTGTAATGCTATACCCAATATGAGTATAGGTCAATCCTCTACATATATGTGTTGTGAATCAATGTACACGGATATGCAGCAATTAGAGTTTAACGTCGATTCTGAACTACTTGGTAGTACTGTAGGGGAACTGTTCTAGGAAACTGACTCTTGATGTTTTGCTAATTATCTTACAAGAGATGTCATTTAAATACTTTTCAGTTTTAGTTAAGTTTGTAGTGAGAGACTCATATCATTTAACATCACATGCGGAGACACACATCGATGAGCTTTCTGTTTTATATTCTGTTTTTGTTCGTAAATACTAAAACACAGATTCTACATTCTACTTAATTGAATTAATTCTAAAACCTTTATAATTAGTTTTATAACTACTATTATTAATACTTAATTATACTTTTTTGTTTTAAGATTAAGTGTAGGTGACGAAAAATCACAGTTGCAACTACTAGGATATCGCATTAATGCCTTAGAAAACATAGTGCGAGAACAAAACGGTCTTATAGAAAAAATCCATGGTGAGAAAAAAGAATTGGATTTGGCCGTATCAAATCAACAACTACAAATTATGAAGATGCTAGAAACGCTCGTTAACATGCAGAAGACCAGTGAACGAGATTTACAAGAGAACATTTTGACTGGGGTCAGTCAAATTTTCACGAAATCCTTAGCGGACAAAGTGCAGCAGATCCTTGCGAATGAAGTTAAGATGATTATTTTGCCAGCTATTCAAAGTCAAGTAGAGTCGTACAGACATCAGCTTGAAAGTCAATATGCTCAAAAAATAAGTCATACTGATATGATGTTAAGAGATAATATTGCGAAAGCTTTTAATAATAAGGTTAGTATATCATGTTGATGGATGATTTTAATTCACAAAGATAATTTATTCGGCCATTCGCAAAATATAAGTTTCCCATGAATTTTAAAAATAGACAGCTTTATTTTTATTCTTATTGATGTACATCATTTTAAAACTTAAAACTGACGCTATTTCTCCACATAATTGCTGTTATGCATTTGGCTGATACTGCATAATTGCTGTTTCTATCCAAACACTTTTGTAGATGATGCTCCAACTTTTCTATCCCAATGTTATAGAATTATCGCCGATCCTTTGAGGAATCGAGTAACCTCTTCCTTGACTTCGTCATCGGTGCTGGAGCATAAGCTAATTAAGTGTTCCTTTAATTTTGGGAATAAGTGATAAGTACTTGGTGCTAGGACCTGACTAGGGAATACAGGGAAAACGAAGTATTGGAAGAAGACGCATCTCCTGGCTCAACAATCTGAGAAAGTGGTATAATTGCAGTTTCGTCGACTTGTTCAGAGCTGCAATCTCAAAAGTGAAAATAGCTGTGATGATGACCAACCTCCTTAGAGGAGATGGTACCTAAAGAAGAAGAAGATTCTGACTGTAGGGGGTGGAGCACAACACCCAAAATCTCTTAGCAGTTGTTCGGTTTGATGTGGGGCATGAAATCGAGCGTTGTCATGGAGAAGCCTCACACCACTGGACAGTCGCACGTTGTTGCAACGTGTAGAAAAAATTTGAATAACAGTAAGTCCTTCCTGATCCATAAGACGGTTGCCATGTCTTTCCTAGCAGACTGCGTTTGTTGACACTGCTTCGGCTTCGGCGAAGTTGAGTGACGCCATTCACGTGAGTGCTACTTGGTTTCGGGAATAAAGTAGATAAACCCATGTTTCGTCGCCTGTAACAATTGAATCCATTATTATTCCTTGTTGTCTTCACGTTATTGCAAAAACTGGAATACGCAAAGCAAGATCGTTAATGATGAACCTCGAACTTCAATCAGTAACTTTTAAGTTTTTCGACATTTTCGTCTAAAACTGAAAGGTCTGCTCCGATCTTCATCGTGAATGAATTTCTGTTAGGTCTTCACTGAATTTTCTACACCATTTGGGAACGTGTTGAACATATACATTTTTACTATAGACGTCTGTTAACTGACGATGAATGTCAATAGGTGAAGTACATTTTGCATTTAAAAACGTACCACAGCACGAATTTTGCATCTAGCGGTAACAGCGATCGTGAGCTTCATCTTCAAAGGCTGCTAGGTGGTCAATGAGTAACTCAGCAAGGTGAGAATTGTTGGGCGAGAAAGAGGGAGAGTTTATGCGTAAGGCAGTGTTGCCAGATTTCTGACAGCACGTCGCACTCATTTATCAGCATCATATTTATGTATCACATATTTCTCTACCGCACTTTGTAGTATCTACAGCATCTTTAGCAATGCCTAAATACAAATTATTTGATAATTGCTAGAGAGAACCATTATGGGAAGGTGGAAAACATATATCGTGACCGTCCAAGTTAAAGTGTCCTATGGTATGATTAGGTCTCGTAAGACGACGTGACTTTAAGGAAACGTGCAACTGTAGGATAACATTTTCAAACAGTAAATAAGAATGTATTATGTATGTTTTAACTTTAAGTGACCTTTTGTATGATTTTTTTTACATTACTGACAATTAGATACCCTTTACATGTTTCATAAGTAACCAAAAGGGCTTAAACGTTTTAGATTATTTTATTTTTGTTTAAATAATGTTTTAAAGAAATAATTATGTCTAAAAGTTAGATTATGTTTATATTTACTTTGAATTCCTTGTGTAGAAGTGGCTAAGCATCCAAAAGGAGGGCTTACTCCATGACCTACCTCAATTACGATTTTTTTAAATATCTTGTATAATAATAAATAATATTGTCGTTACATTTACTATATATTGAATGCATTTTCAGGCACTGGCAGATACTCTTAGCTTGTCCGTTGTAAACATCGTAGCACCTAGTCTTGAAAAATGTTATCGGGATATAATTTCTTCATCTTTAATTCCGTCTTGGGAACGAGTATGTGGCCAAATGTTCCAACAAATTAACGAAACATTTACTCGAGGTACCAAAGAATGTAAGTAGATTAATATATTTGTGTAAAAACTGTTTTACTTTGACATATCACTTTTGCTAAAAAAGTTTGATCGCTTTGGCATTATTGGTATGTATATAAATTTATGGTTTTTATGTATTTCCTCAAATAGTAATTGATTATTGCATTTTACTAATCTCCAGCAAAGAAATAATGAAATGAGTCATTATTTAAGCGATATCGTAAGTTATTGTATAATTTAGCTGTCTTTATGAGTTTTACCAAGAAGCGTATCAGTAGCGGAGAATTTAGTTTTTATTTAGCGTATGGCATATTAAGAACACATAACTAATTACAGTATTAATTAATTAGAGTATTCCAAACGAAAATCTAATATATCAGTATAATCTAAAACATTTTCGGTCTCATTCAGAAATTCCATACTCTTAGTTTTTCTTGCTGTTTTGTCAATATATTACCCTCCTTATCTCTTAACTTCTTTTGTTTGAACTCCTTTTTGCTTTTGTTCAGTTTCTTGCAAAATTTTCTCGTCTCTATTGGCTTACTCAGATCTTGTAGTTCTTTGTTCATAGTTTCTATCTTCTTTCTGCGGTGGATTTCCTTTTCTTCCTTGCTTAGTTATTTATATTCTTCCTCTACTTGGCTATGTACCCGTATTGTATCATTAAATTGCTGTTTTTTCTCTCTATTGTAATCTGATATTCTTAGTCAAAACAGTAATTCGTTCTTGTTCTTCTTTGTTTACCTTTCATGACTAGTAATTCTTCAGCTTCTTTCATAATGTTTCTGCACCCTTCCCACTCTTCATTTATGCTTTCATGTTTTAGTCTGCCTTCTAGTTTGATGTTTATATTCTCTATTTTTGTTTGTATTTTTAAGTTCTCTATTTCCTTTTTTAAATGTTTAAAATTCCTGTCCTTAACCTACTTTCGATACAGTAGTGGTCAGAACCCGCATTTGCTTCTCTTCTGGTGCGAACTTTTATTATATTGGATTTATTTATAAACCATTGAGATAATGAGTTGTAGAAGTTATCAAAGTAAATGACATGATTTAGGAAATCTGGCACAGTCTGCGATAACTGACAACAACGTTTCTTGTAATACCTATGTCTGGGGTGTTAGGCATAATGATGTTTCTGGTTTATGCTATTTGAGTAACATCGGTCGAACTGAATGAAGTACTACTGATATTCAGTGATAAGTTCGCAGCCTGTACAAATGTAGCGGTTGAATATATGTTTTGCATGCATTCAGTTATCATCTCATCATCCTCGGGTGTTATTTCATCACACTCGTAATCCAGATTACTGTCTACGTCATCAACATCTTCATCCGTAAATGATTCCATAATGTCTATTACTTTTTCACTTAGAGTAGTGACATCGAATCCTTTTCCTGCCGCCCATGCTCTCCTACATCCTTCTACACCACGTTTATCCTCCATTTCCTAAAGAAAGAACAAAAATACTTATAATAAGAAGAAGAGTCGAAAAATTTTACAACTAAGCGACATGAGCGTCTGCAGACGACCTTTATTGCTAAGCTAATTGACGTAGGTACTTAATGTTTAAGTAAGAATTATTTTAAAAATGCATCACGAAGAAAGTATTAACTGCTAGGAACAGTCAAACTTAACGAAATTCGCATTACAGCTTTTTTTTATTACAGCTCTGAAATGAAATTGTCCTAATAATGTGAAATATGAGCCATAAATGAAATATCTGGTTACAAAAAATATTTTTTGCATAAATCATATGATTAAACATTTATTATAGCAAACATTTTTTTTTTCAAGATACTGCATCAGTAGAAAGTTACATGGACAAACAAAGAAGAGTACAGGAGAAGGGAAAAGATTTGATAGTACAAATGCAAAATGTCTCAGAAACCATGAAAAGCAATGCTGACAAACTAACTAGCAATTTGACGACTGAGATACATAAACAGTTTCAAACGGTTTTTAAAAGGTAATGTATCATTTTATTATAAAATATTTTAGAACTTGCAGAAATACTAGGGCGGTCCAATAAGTACTTAGCCTACAAAAGAAAAACGATAATTTTGGAAAAGTTTCGATTTATTTCTTAACATAGTGTACTATTAACTCGATAGACTTGACCAAACGATGCCCCAAGTTCTTTAACCCGACAGAAAAATGCGTTTTCTCGAGGTCCGCAAAGTAGACTTCCGTGTCGGCGATGACCTCCTGTTTTAACTTAAATTTCTGCCCGACGAGTGCCTTTTTCAGGTTTGGAAACAAGAAGTCACACGGGGCCAAATCTAGAGAATATGGTGGATGGGGCAACAGTTCATAGCCCAATTCGACCAATTTCGCCATGGCGACGGCAGAGGTATGAGCGGGTCTGTTGTCATGGTGGAAGAGCATTTTTTTCTTAAATGGGGTCTAATTAAACCCGAATTGGCCCATTAATTTGGCGTAGTATATAGCAATGCGCCATGCTCTACGTGAGCTAAAGAGAAAAATTGATAAGTGATCTTAATAACATACTGTTACTATCGGAACGAGTAGATAAATTTTGAACATCTTTAACAATTAAAATACAATTTAATGTTGTTTACACACCCTGCATCGCTTATTGAAATTTAGTATAGTATACCTTGCTGGGCCATATAGGTACAATGTAACTATATTATTTTTTAGTATGAACGATAAGCTTACGAGTAATATACGGGACATTGTGATAGAACAGGTAAAACAAGGATTCAAAAGTCACGCCACAGTCATAGAAGACAGTGTTATGAATGCAGTCCGATCAAGGGCAGTTACTCCATCACCACTTCTGGATTCTCATGTAAGTTACACATAATTTTACCGTAAACTTAGGGTGAAGTCATAGAATCTCGGTTCAAATCTTCTTAAGACATTTTCAAATAGATTCTGGATCTTAATACAAATATCTAAATGACTTACAGAATAGGTATTTGAACCAAGTTGTGTCTATGATTTTACACTTAAGCCAACATTTATTGATACCCGTATCGACTAATCTTGATAGCTGTAAACGTAGTTGTATTTTTAAATATTTTTTTTTGTTTGGATGGTTGTAGATTTTTTCTGGTGATGCTTTGTAGTACTTTATCTGTAGATATGGTTGCTGGCAGCTACTTACATAATATGAAAGCAAATTTTTTACTTATTGAAGGGATACATAAACAAATCAATGTTTTTAATATTTAATAAACTGTTATTGGCTACATTATATACAATGTTTTATTGATTAAACCTTGTCCTACACCCTAGTACCAAAATTATACTATTGCAAGTGGCTCATATTTTTAATGTAGACCTTTGTGGGTTTGGCGTGCGGTTATTATTAAAAATAATAATCACGATTTTAGAACGAATTGATTCTCTTAAAAAATATTTTCTTATTTTATAGATGCCTTAGGTGGAGAAAACTAATCCTTTTTAAATATATTTTTTGGGAAAACCCTTTATTCGTTTAAATTAACAAACTTATGACTGGTTCAAGGATTAAATTTAATTCCTATTGTCAAATGATTTAATGACATGTGATTAGAAAAAAGGTCATCTAGTAATTTTTAGCACAAGTAAAACTTAATTACTTAAACAATTCGAAATTGGTACGAAACAGTACTAGTAATAAATGTAACCTTAACTGAATATTTATTTCCATAAAATGTAAAAAATATGTTCAAATAAAAACCAACATTATATATAATCTGAGTCATCTGCTATGGCCTGACGAATGGCCTGTTTTGTCGTATCATCCAATTTTATTTGTTTCTTTCTTCGTTTCTCAACCTTCAGAGTATTATTATCGTTGGTTTCATCGTCTGTTTTAATGCTCTGTACAAACTAGCTTCGGAAACTTTCGTCAAAATGCTACATAATGTAGAGATAGTGCAAGCACTCCTGACCACAGTGCAGTAGACGAAATTTCGTTTAGTTCCCACTTTCCATACGAAACGCATTGTACTGTGCACTGTATAATTCCACTTACAATAGAACCTTTCTGTCTTTACGTGAATTTTGACTTCGCCTTTTTACCATTATTCCACACTCAGAGCCTTCTAGTGCCTCTACAAAAATGTTCTACAAATAGAGATTGAAGAGCATAGGAGACAAAATACACCCCTGTCGAACCCCTCTTAAAATTTAAATTCTTGTGTGTTGGTTGATTTGTTCAGCCTCACTTCTGCTTTTTGATTCCAATAGAGATTCTGGATAACTCTTATATCTTTCTCGTCAATTTTAGCGGTGTGTAGCATTTTTATCATTGCGTCATGTTTTACGGTGTCAAACGCTTTTTCATAATCGAGGAATGTTATGACTATATCCTTTCGTTGATCCATGCAGTTTTGTACAAGCGTATTCAAGAAGAAAGCTGCTTTACCCAGTCCGCTCTTGAAACAAAATGTGTCTCACCGCTTACATCTTCCAGCTTTCTGAACATTCTTATGTGAAGGATGCGAAGAAACACCTTAAGCAAATGGCTCCTTAAACTTATCAGTCTGTGGTCTTTGCATTTTGTCGTTCTTTGTGATTTAGGGATCATTATAAATGTTGAATAAAGCCAATCCGTTGGAATGTGGCCGGTGTTTATGTCATTGAAAATTGTTACCAGCATGTCGATGTTATCATCTTCCAACAATTTTATGGCTTCCGTAGTAATTCCATCCGGTTCAGAGGCCTTGCCCAGTTTTGCTGCTTTTATAGTGTATTCCACCTTGGCGCGAATAGTGGGAGGTCCACTATTCGCTATATAATGAACGTAGTTTCCTTGATCATTCTTCAGGCGAGCCTCATGGTGTTTCTTGTATATACTCGAAATTTCTTTGATCTTTTTATGTAGTCCAAAGCTGTCTCCCTTTTCTTGTAGTGATTCCAATTCTTCACAACGTTCTTTCATCCAGCTTTCCTTTGCGTTTTTAATTCTTGCCTTTATCGTACGTTGGATTTCCTTGAATAGTTTTGATATACGGTTCACTATTACTACTCTCTCATATTATTTGTCACCAAATTGAATTAAACTAAACTCACAATTAACAAAAAGTAAACGTAAAAGCTGCTTCCACTACAATAGTATATAATAATATAATAAATATAATATTATAATAATACTACAAACAATTCTGTTCTCTGTTTTATGAAAGCTCTGTCAGTGCGCTTATTAAACCGACTTACAGATAAGAGACAATAAAATAGCTACCTGAACAATGGCGTTATTACCAATTACATCGCCTTAATTTGCGACTACGTTTTTGAGATCTCAGACATTATCTACCGTTAGAGAAAGATATAAACTACAACATTGCAGATAACTTTGAGTTAAATCATACACGCTGACAACGTTACATTTTCTCTAGAACCGAAATCTTTGCCAAAACATTTGAACAGTTAGTCAAAATTATAGTCAAATTATTGAAATGTATTTCATATAAAATGATATCTCCTCTATCTGAACATATATTCTTTGAATAGTCAGAAGAAGGTTTTTGTCAATTTTTAAGAGATTAAACAGGTTCTGCAATAATCCACTTTAAATTTTCTCCTTTTGTCAGAACAAAATTTTTTTCTTCTAAAAGGTAAACGTGAAATTTTAGGGGCCTGTAAAAATCATTAAAATATGAGTCACTTGCTAAAATTGTGGTACTTTACTGTGTAATAATTATTAAAATGTTTAAATACAAATGTTAATTGATAGAGATTACTGGATATGTATATTTTTATAGTAGATAAACGTGATGAGCATTTGATTCACATGTTCAGGGTGCCTTAGTCTGCAATCATTCCTTCATGACTTTTCGTCTGTGACACATTATCAAACTGTCACGTGTTTATATACGACTTATAAACTTCGAAAACAGTTTATGATTACAAAATATTGACGGTGAAAACCTACACTCCTTAATAATGAACACAGTTGATACGCAATGATGTAAAAACCTGTTATACGTTTATATTCTATACCTTTTTAAATGTCCGTCGAAAGTTTGTGGCTGTATTTTACAGGAGATATCAATAATATTCACTTGAATTCACTAGTTGTTCGTTAAAGCTTATTCCAAAACATAATTTTAACAATCTTTTTGCAGTAAAATTTGAATTATCAAAAACGAATATTGTGAATATCTTTTGTCATACATGAACACAAATCATAATTTACCTTCTCGATCAGTGGCTGGATAGAGTTAGATAAAATTATCCCAGGTCCAATTCAGCACTGTTTTCGATCGCTGGACTGCATGTTTGCTGGAATGATGAAAACCAGGCTTAATAAGATCTGAGAAACCAAAGTTTTAACTTTAAAAACCTAGACTAGAGTGTGTTTTTGGATATTTTGACTCTTACAAATGGCATATAAATGAACTGTCTGTGTATCATAGTGTTGTATTTTTAGTATTGCTCATCTTACGATGATCGATAAAGGTCCTTCGAGACCGATCTGTAATAAGATCAATTTTTAATGCAAATTTTACTTCAGCTGTATTGTCCTTAGATTTTAAATAATATTGCTTGTTTAATACAGTCTATTGTCACATTTTAATTTTTGTTTATTGATAAATTACTTTCGTATAAAAACGAAATTAAGTTATGTATGTTTTAGGTGACTACGTTGAACCAGATTCAACTTTTTATATCAAGGCACAATTATAACGATGCCTTTCAAATAGCGTTAAGTGCCGAAAATTTGGGTTACGTTATTCACGTGTGTGAACGCGTTGACATACAAACCTTGTTTGGCGAAGAATGTCTTTTGCAACAAACTTGTCTATTAGCCCTTATTCAACAACTGAGCTTGGAGTTAAATAAGAATACAGATCTGAAATTGAGGTAAGTTGTTTTTAACACTTTAAAGACTTAGATGGAAATTGATTATATTCGTATTACTTTTTTGTTGTAATTTTTTAAACGTTTTTCTTGTAGGGTCATATCTTAGGCTAAATCAACAGTTTCTTTAATCTAAAGTCATAAAAATGACGAACATTTTTAACGGTATAAATTTAATTTAAATTAAATTTTCAAAAAGTCCACCACTTTGAGCCAAGCAGTAGCCCAATCTATTGTATAATTGCCTTCGGGTGTTCGACAACATTTCGGGTGGTGAATGATAATATTATCGGGCCTGAATGATTTTTTTGACGTAATTCGTCTAAATTTCCGGTACGCTCATGCTCATGTCGGTAAATTTGTTGCTTCACATAACCTTATATAAAAAAGTCCAAAGATGCAAGATCAGGTACGTTTTTGTGCTAATAACTATGTGTAAAGATAATGTTTAAAAATTCTAACACCTCCCGTGCATTGTGAACTGGACAGTCGTGTTATTGCAACCAAATTTCATCCATATTAATAGGTGATGCTCGAACTGATGGAATTATGTGTGATTTCTCGGGAGATTTAGGTATTTACTACGACACAAAGTGTTCACAATGAAAAGAGGGCAAATTACGTTGTAACCTAAAATACCTGCACAGACGTTGACTTTTTGACGGTATTGTAATTTGTAAGGAGCGTTTGTGTGCCTATTTTCTGCAGAGAACCTAACGGTAATAGATGGATTGTAATGGCCAGTTAAAGAAAAAGAAGACTCATTTGTATTAAATAAGATTTTTTCATGAAATCTTCTTCACGATTAAAAACAAGCTCGTATGTTGGTACTAATTTCATAATATATTCGGTAATTTCATACTTTATTCAGATTAACACCCTGTATATATTTTCTTCTTCATTCATCTTGGCATCAATTGTGCCAATTCTGGTTTTAACTGATCTTTATCAAAATTAACATCATTTGGTTAATCTTTAGCCGGTTGAAAGTCCCTAAATGAAAGCCTGTCGCGCACTTTTAATATTCAAGTCTTGCCATATTTTGGATTTCGTATGACCCTCATTCAACCAAGTTTCGTCCGTATAATAAATTTTTTTACCAAGTCGTCTAAAATCACGAATTTTTCTCTCTCGATCAACAAACTTTTCCGATTTCTCTTCACATACCGAAACTCTATTTCATGTAAAGTTCTTTGTAATACTCTCATGGATATTTTATTTAAAGTATCATCTGCGTCTGCATTAACTTCTCGTTGAATAGCCTTTAACGTGGGCAGTTCGTTCCTAAAATAAAATCCATGAACTTTTCTTCGGATTATTCTTTTCGTACTATCGTCCAATAAAATTTTTGCACGTCCTTTATGGATTGGTTTTTGGATAGGTTTGTTACTTTGAATTATTCGGAAAACCGTACGAGCCGATACTTTTGTTAAATCTCCACACAATGCCGCGACGTCCTCTATAAGCATATCTTGATATCTTCTACGCAATCCCTCATAAACCGATTTTATCATTTGCTTTTCTCTCACAGAAAACTACCCTTTTTTATTTTGTTTATTAACAGATGTACTGCACGTTGGTTTTGATGCCATGATTGATGTTACCCGACGGTACATCGATGTTACCCACGGTATTTGTGGGTGAGTTTTCACATTGTTGAAGTATTGCATTAAGAATATTACTTTCGAAAAGAAATATCGGTGTCCGCCTGTCTTTCTATTGGCACTCAAAGTATACCTCAATGGCACGGATAAGCTGCAAGTGGTACTAAATAATAGATTTCGCAACAAGGCGAGTCTACCTTCTCTAGTTCGGACTTCCACGAGTGTTAACGAACTACAAAATGTCTGCCCTGACAATCCTATTGAATTCAGGGTATAGAGTGTTCATAAACTGAACATATGTCTTTACTTAATAACAGGCGGCAGCTGGTTTGTCTTTAGTTTCATGCGCGTAAGACAATGATGCAAAAATATCTAATGAAAAATATTGTCAATTTTATTATTATTCTATTACAAGTATTAAAAATAAATAGGCCACTGAAAGTTATTGTGACGACGTAGAAATTTTATTAATGATAATGATAAACTTTAACCCAGATATTACTGAAACTTTTATTGTTAACATTTTGAATTAATTTCGAATTTTCATGGAAATTATAGCATATGGAACCAAAAAACACAATCATATATTTTTTTATGACGATACCTGTCAAGTTTTGACATGTTCTTTTAAAAGGACGGTAGTAATATACGGTACCATATATCATTTATATTTTATTAGTATCAATTTACAAAGAATGAAAGGATTTAAACAAAATTTTGGATGTAAAGGTATTTTGCACTTTTCACACAAAAACTGGACTTTTTTGTGACAATATCCACATCGCGATTGCTTTTCTTGATAAAGAACCAAGTGGTTAATACCGTCATATCTTGAATTGGCTACCGAATTCGAATCCGCTTAGAAGGTCCCGTTTTGTTTCTTTTTTAAAAGTTTCCAAAATATTAGTTGCAATAGATCTTCTAAATTCAAGTTGATCCAGTTTACCGTCTTGAGTTTTGTGAATCTGCCACGCATTTTGAATAGCCATATCAACACAATGAGCAAAAAGCGGAAAATACCATTTCTTTCCTCTTATGGACACTCGATATAAACTGATGTTCTGGTCACTGCGATCAACGCCACCCATGAAGTTATTGTATATTCTAACAATATTTGGTTGAGGAACTTGACTATGTTTTTTCTCTGCTTTTTTCTCTGGTACAAAATTATAAGCAATAGAAACGATATTATTATCATGCCAGCGGCAAACCACTATTCCTGTATTTTTATCAAGACGATACTCGTATTTACCACGTTCAGTTTTTTTCATAATAGATGAACAGGGTAAAGGGCATTTCATGGTGCGGTTTTCCCTTACAGTGCCTGTACCAAATATGCCTCTTTGTTTTATCTCATGCAGTAAATGAATAGAAGTAAAATGATTATCAAAAATAAGATGGAATCGCCTTTGAGGCCATACTTCATTCAATCTGTCTGCATAGGATAGAACTACTGATGCAAACAATCCAAGGACTTTATATTGTTCAGGTATTGTAGTGGAATTACCTTGGTAAGGAGAAAACCAAACTGTGTATCCCAGACGAAGGGCTCCTACCCACGTTTTGTACCCCAACGGATTGGTTTTCCCCTGATGAATTGTTTTGTGGGATGGCGACCAAAATACGGAACCATTGCCTCATCTATGCTGTGATGTTTTAAAGGGGAAAATTGTATAAATGCTTTGTTTATTACGTCGAACAGGGGTTGCATCTTGGCAAATCTATCAAATTTATCTAATGACAAGTTATTGCAAACATGCAAAACTTTCATTATGTTGGAAAATCTATCCCTAGATATAGCAGCTACCACCATTGCGTTGTGCGAATCGTCACGATTTTCCCAGTACATGTACCTTTTCGGCACAACCACATAACCACTCAATACAAGAACGCCTATAAAACATCGAATTTCATTTTGAGTAATGTCGTTCAAAAGATTTCTTTGTCCTGCGTAGATGTTAGTGTATTCGGTAACCAAATTGATGACTTCATCATCAAAAAACAAATTGAAAATTTCCATCGGCGACTGAGTCATTTTCGGTCCAAATTGGGTTTTCCAGTAAGTACAATCAGGGTGTTGATACAAGTCTCCTTGAATCCAGTGTGCAGATATTCTCTTCTCTAATTGATGGGGCAGCTTTTCCTTGGGCCAATGGTATATTGTCATCATCCGAATCTTCTTCTGGTAGGCTGGAATTCACAGAATCTTGTGGTAATTCAGTCGCGCTGTCAAAAACAAGTTCTACATCGTTTCTTATCTGACTACCCGGTAAATTATTTATTGTAGTTAGTTCTTCATCGCCGGAGTCGCAATCGGTGACATCATCATTGGCATTTTCTGGGGGAAATATGATCAAACCATCTGGAGGGACTGGGATTTCATCAGAATCAAGCTCTTCTAATAGCTCATGCAATTTGAGAGGCCTTCTGAAACAATACGCACGTTGGTAGTACTAATTACTACCGTCCTTTTAAAAGAACAAAATGAAATCCCAAGCGGCGAGCCAAGCATCAACTACTCGAGCCAAGAATATGCGTACATAAGTCCCTATTATACAATAATCCACATGCCAATGCCGTGAAATAACAGTTTTTTAATTCTAGACTTACCTCCAATTATAAGCATCCATTTTGTAGTCCAAAACCTGGCAATTTACACAGATAACCTCACAATTACAGCATGTGCGCGCACTAAAATCGTTAAAACTTGTCGAATGCTGTCTCTTGAAAACACTCCATCTAGAGCCATCTATCAGTTGGTAGCTGTACTAACCTAAATTACGCATAATTTACACTGCCTTTTAAAAGGACGGTAGTAATATCTGAGTTAAAAAGAAATACTGTTATAGTTTGACCCCTTCATATTTAATATAATTTTTATTTCAGTTACATTCGTGCTGCGTTCCTGTCTTTATCGCCAGATTGTACAGCAACAAAACATTTCATTCCAAAGGTTTTGAAAGATTTATTAAAACAGCTGAACCTTTTTATTCAGTCGAATCCACCAGTAAAACAATTAAAAGAAGCGAAACTTCTTAAAATGGCTGTGGAAAGCATGTTAGTTAAGTGATATATGTTATTTTTATACTATTATTGTAAAAAAGTCTTGTTTATTTTTTTGTGTATTGGTATTTGTGTATTATTTTTTGATACGTTTGGCATATGGCTTTACCTTTTTATAGTGTCTCACTAGCTCCTATCCCTGAATATTAAATATTTTGTTTAAAGAACATTTACAGATGTAGTTTATATAAGTGTAAGATATAGACAGTCAGTCGTATGTCTTACCGATTGTCTGGCACAAAATTTCATACATAAATAACGTCCAATGTTAAATGAAGGTCTACGACTAGAGACAGAATAATATTTTGGCCATGTCTTGTTTGAATGAGAAAGGCTTCATTTCCATGTAAGAATTCCTGACACAGGTCGTCGAATTATATTTTAAATTTGTTTTCTATTCTTTATGTCTCTTGAATTATTCACCAAATTTTATATATTTTTGTATATAAAATATTGGTAGTATATGTTTTGGTGTCTTTCAATGTTCTCTGTCATTACGCTTATGATGTTTAATGCCCTTATCTTGCATCCTGCAGTTTATTCATCATAAGTATTTGTTCTAGTCTCAATGTTCCTGAATTACTCTGAAAGTCTGATTTCGGTAGTTACTTATGCCTATTTTCCTTATCGTAATCTCCTCCTTTTGTACAGTCAACTTGTTCAGCTGAAACATCAGCTTCGCCAGTAGAATGATATTTTTAACCCCAACTAGTTTTGTGTGCTAACTCTTTCAACGATTTTATACTTTTTTTACCTACCTAAAAGACACAGTAGCAGTGAATTCCCGAAACTGTATATTCGTTGAAAAATTGAGTCTGCATTTTAAGATGGTTAATTCTATCAAATATTTCAAGTAAGTCTTATTATTTTTTTGTTTTTTAATGTAAAATTTAAAAGTTATGATTGGTTACGTTGACAAAGATGCCTATGCTCTGTTAACCGTTTTTGAAACTTCTTCATGTCTGACCTGTGTAATTCTTTACACTTAATGTTCCAGCGAAACATGTTACATTGACTATATCCTGTGGAAATTAATAACAGTATTGTGTTTAGCAGTATAATAAAAGTTTTTTATTATATTATGGAACATGAGTTCTCATCAAGTAACGTCACTTAAATTTATATTTTTTCCAGTTATTTTAAATTTGTTTATTGATATAATTTACCGCCTCATTTAACATTAAACCATTGGATATTTTTCCTGTTTTTTTAAGTCTTCTTCAGGTGCCGTCTTTAATGGGAATTGGCGATGATTTCTGCAAATTCATCTCCATTTTGATCGTTTTTTATAAGATTTGCAGGTCTAGTCCTATCTATTCCTTGATGTTAGGCCGCCATGCCATTTTTCATCTGCTAGGTTCGCGTTTTCCTTCTATTTTTCCTTCCACTGTTAGAGTAAGTTATATTCCTCTTGTGTGAGTATATATGTCTAAGATAAGATCTTTTCCGTTTTTTAATAATTTCTACAAGTTCATAATTTCTGATAAAGCGTCTTAAAACTTCTTTATTTCTAACAAAGTCAGTACATGGAATTTTTAGAATGCGTCGAAATATCCACGTCTCAAAGTTTCCAGCCGTTGTAACGAGCTAATTGTCAACGCCCAGGCTTCCATGCCACGTAGTAGGATACTGTGTATATATCATTTTATCATGCAATATCATAGAGTAGTTAGATCAAGATATCGGGTGGTGAAAAATTGCGTTTTTGGTCTCTTCTATTCTACATGTCTTCTTGTTCTTAGCCTAAGGCCTCATGTCTCCAACTCATCAACACGTTGTTATTTTACAAAAAATGCTGTTCATGCAATTATTAAAAGGATATTAAAATTAATAAAAAACTAAAACTTGTCACTACATATCACGTAATTAACAAATCAAATTTTAAACTCATTCTCGTCGGCATTTTTGTCGTTATACTACAACAAAACACTCCAATATCTGCTCATTAATTAACCTAACATTGCCCAAACTTGTAGCGTTGATAGTTTCAAACTTCGTCAAATAATTAAATTTCTTTAATTAGTTTATTAACTTTCTAGTTCAGGATAAAGCCAATGCCAAGTATTTATTCCATGATTTTCTAAACATATAACTAGTTATGCATGTAACTTACTGGTTTACTTGAAATATTATTTTCAAATACATTTTAGTTTAGATATCAGTATTTTTTATTAAAATCGTCTTATAAAATTTTAAGTTCTTATGTATTTTAATTTGAATAATTTACCATCACGAACATATTTATTTTTGTATACTTTTCGTTGTCGATTTTTGATATTTTCTGTTCAGACTGTTGCAATACGAAGAAATACATTTTTTTAAATAAAATTATAAATCAAATGTTTGAATTTTATTTTCCATAAAATGATCAGCACACACTTGTAGAAACTCCGAAACGGAACATGACTCCAGTGTTTGTCGGAAAAAATAATTCCAGACCACGGGGTCGAAAAAGACCGGAAAACAATGTATTAGTACAAAACACCTACCATAAAATCCATACTCTTTGTTTCTTCTCGGTAAAAATTTGAATACTTATATTTTTTTAAAAGAAAAAAGACCACCAACCAGAAGATCTGTTGTATAAATTGGTTGTTCAAGAACATATTGCTCTTTCAAGTAATACATTTAATTAGCTACAGTACTTTATTAGAAAATACATCCGGTCAAACACAGAGGCGGATCCAAAATTTTTTTCGCGGGGGGTCATGGGCCTTGAGGGTGATTTTGATGTAGTATTTAGATTTTTGCACCTTTACGATTGATATGATTTGTGCCTCCCTTTGTAAGGGAACCATTTTCTCAATAATTATTTTAAGCGATATATTAAACCAATGAGAAGTTATTAAATCCCCAATACCCTATGGGTGCAAAGAAGGGTACAACATAAGTTTGGTCTGCCACCATCTTATGGAACACCCTGTGAGATTGTAACTAATTTTAAAATGTGGAGTTTAAAGTTGCCTACAATTTTTGTTAATAACTTTTTTTTAGTAATTTTTACTATAACAGATCTACTGAGCTTCCTCACACTAATCAATCACCCTGTATAATTAGGCATATTAGGTTACTAGTGAGTGAAATATTTTTTTACTTTGTATTAAAATTTTTCTCACCAGTTGTCAGCAGCAGCCGACAATGAGTAGTAAATAAAAGTTGAGTGATTAAAAATACTATGAGAATAAGATAAGTAAATGTTATATAATTTTATATAATGTATTCTTCTCGCATATGCGATTTAGAAAATAGCTTTATGATTGCATCTATATCTAGAGAAATTTGAGGTTGCACGTTGATAAGTGCTAAACCTAACCTTTCCTCCGAAGTTCAATTTCTTAGCCAACTCCTTAGACGCTTAATCGTAGAAAAACCACGCTCAGCTGTTGCTGCGCTTACTGGCAGTGTCATTAATATTTGCAGAAATATTCTGATACTTGGATACATATGAATATCAGTTTTCTAATACTTAATAAGCTGCTACATGGTTCTAGAATCCTGGAATGGGCATCATGAAGGAATAGAAGATGTATGATGATGCCAATTAGCTCCGGTTTATAACAGACGGTTTTCAGAAGAAAAAAACATCAATTAAATTAAAGATATTCGCTAGGATTTTACAACGAAACAAAAATATTATTTTAGATTTTTATTAAAAATCAAATCAAACCTATAAATTCAACAATAGGGCAGTATAAATAAATTATTTACATTATTTGTACATAAACATTTCATAAATATAATATATATATATTAATAAATTAAATTTTGGAAGAAATGTATACTTATATCGAAATATTTCCATCATTTATATCGACTAAAACCTGAAACAGTTACTTGTTTAATTTGACACAAAACTAAATTTAATGGCGCATGTTTTAGATATACAGGAAATTTTTCTTTTCGATAAAAGTATATACTAACATTAATAATAGCTAATGACGTAGAGTACCTTTAAACACTGGTAACCTAGCTTTTATAAAAAATATATTTATGGTCCCAATAACACTCCAAAAAATATGTAACTACATGATCATTCGCCAAAATAAACAACACCATCAATATACAGGGTGTCCCAGTTTTTTACTACAGTTAATCAGTCAACTAAACACTTTTACAAGAATGATTTAATTTCGATTTTCTTTTGATTATGACATTCTTTATGATTATGAATGTTTATGACATTCTTTATATATTGTTGGATAGCCTAATTTGACGAAAGGCCGCTGAAGATGCTCTTTTATTTGATTAAAATTCTAAAGAAGATTGCTGGAAATAAATTCTTCAAAGTTGAACATTTTGACTAGGAAAACCACTGTAAATCAAACATTTTAGTACATTTTTAACTAAATCGTTTATAAAAACCTAAGAACTTACTCTTTTACAATAAATTTCATTTGCTCGTACTGTTTATTCTGGCGAATATTTAATATTTTTACAAAAGTAAAATTCTATCAACTTTAGGCAACGTTAAAAAAAAAAAGAAATATATAAGTTAACATAAATATACAATAATAAAAACACAAGAAAATTAGTTGAGGCGAACAAAAGACATACTGGGCAAAACAAAATCCAAAAACGTGGTCCAATAAAGAAAAAGATAAATCGATATCTTGAATAAACTTTCAAATATTATTTGGAAGAGATATGAAAAAGAACCGAAAACTGTCGAATGATACAGAAAAAAAAAATTAAAATCAACAACAACCGTGATCTAAAATTCGAGATCAACTATGTCTCATGTCGCAAAAAACAATGAGTCAATATTCACTCGAGTTTGTTTTTTGACGTTTCTAAGCCTCACGTTATTTGAGGATTCAAGAACTGATTTTTGGAGACATTTAAATCCTGTTGATATAATGAGAGGAAACCCGCTTCAAATGGTTGACACAATAGTTACAGGTTTTACACAATTAAAGTAAGATAGTCGCTTTTAGAAACCAAGAGGAAAAACTGAGTGGAATTGTGCAACCAGATTTTGTCTTCCTTAAGAAATAATACTACAACAACCAATTGAAGAAATAATACAATTTCTAACAGATGTAGTCTAAGTT